TGTTAGTTTGTTTTTTGTCAAAGCCAGCCAGAAATTAATTAGTCTCCATTATCTCCAAGAACAGATTCCATTTGTGTAAAAGGCCAAATAGTGATGAAAATTATATGAATGTGTCACTGAAAATCAGTGATGTCACTAGGTGTTTTTTAACGAACAGGGTGAGCCTGTCCTGCTCTGCCGGTATTGTTTGACATATTGTTTCACTGACATATTGTTTCTCGAACAGTAAAAACTTTATTAATAAACGCATCGTTTGTGACATTTCCCAGTCTCCAGACTGATACAGTTGGTAACGACTTTTATGAATATTTCAGTTTCTTGAAGAAATTTAGCACTGATTGGTCTGAGACATAACGATCCTGTTGATAGTGCATTCGTGATGGTTGTTCCGTCGAATCGATACTGACGCGGGGGTCTTGAAGACAAGGACACAGAGACTGATAAAGTTAGCACAAAAACCTAAAAAGTGAAAAAGGATTCACAATTTAAATTCATTTTTGAACGATTTCCTGTTGAACGATAATACATTTATTATTGCTTGTTTTTTTCCCATAGTGAGGTTATGACGGACGAATTTATGTGGAGTTCATCTCCTGTTTTTAGGTTGGTTTTAATTTGTTGTTGTCGTCGTTGTTTGTTGTTGTTGTTCTTCTTCTTGTTGTTTGCTGATGACACTCTTTTTGTTCTTCTTTGTTCATACTGTTCGTGGTTTGCAAAAACAATTAGATGTGTATGTATTGGAATCCTTCGCTTCTCGCACTGTTTATTTTATATATTTTAGTCCAACATTATTGCTTTTATAGTGACGATTGCATTACATAAAAAAACTGGGTATTGTTTTAAACCACATTAAAATATGTAACTTATTGTAACTAATTGGCATGTAATACACTTGGAGCACAAGCATCTAATGCAATAATGTTCATCTATTAACATTCAGAAGAAATATGTACATTTCGTTTTCAGCAGACTGTTTTATTGTAAAATTGTAACTGTTTAATTTTTCCATCCTCCCGAGTGTGACTGACTTGGGTTTAACACCGCTTTTAACAGTATTCCAGTTATATCACGGCGTGTCAGCATAATGTGGGAGGAAAGCCCCAAGTGATTCAGGTATCAGACGTTTACCACTTCGGTGAAACCCACGAGCACGGGTATGGTGCTGACAACCTAGAAACATAATCTGGGCGAACCGGGATTCGAACTCACAATCATAGGTTTCTGGCGTGCCCAAAGAGCAAATTTGCACAGCGAATCACGGCACCTTAGACGACTGGGCCACCCGTGCGCACGTGCCTCGGGAAGATATTTTTTTCTGAAATTTGGGAATTACGTATTAGGACGTCACTGAAAATGAACATATGCCCTATTTAAGAAGTTTTTGGGTGTAGGTAACTATATTACAAAGAAGGTTAATATGTGTACATTGCATATAACATCGCTATTCGTAGAATTTTTAAGTCAAGTTAGAGCATTGAAATATTGACTTAAACTAATGCGTAGGGAGCCTGGAGATATCATTATCAATGTTATAACATGGTATAACAAGTAGATGAAACTGGTGAATATAACTGGGCTTCACAAGATAGACATGTTATTTTAAAAATGTTGCAAAATCATTAGGGTTGGAGTATGTATCATTCACCTGTCAAATAAATCCCTTATTACTGTGTTTTAAAAAATTAAGAAATCAAATCATATCTTTAATATTAATATTCTCCGTAAAACAAACTAGCATGTTAATCCTATCACTGCTACTAGTGTCCATTGCGCGTCTCGTGAAGATGAAGATGAATTCTATGCATTGTTTGAGTGTGGAAGATGTTCAAGTTGAGTGAGTGAGTGGGTTGGGTTTAACGCCGCTTTTAACAGTATTCCAGTTATATCACGGCTTGTCAGCTTAATGTGGGAGGAAAGCCCGAAGTGATGCAGGTCTCAGATGTTTACCTCTTCAGTGAAACCCACGGGCACGGATATGGTGCTGACAAACTGACAAACCCAGAAACATAATCGGGGCGAACCGGGATTCGAACCCACAATCACAGGTATCTGGCGTGCCCAAGGGACGCAACTCTGCACCGCGAATCGCGGCGCCTTAGACGACTGGGCCACCCGTGCCCCCTTTTCAAGTTGAAGAATGAAACCCAACTATTCTGTATTGTCAATGCGTTTAACTGTATATAGTCAATGGTAACAATGGTAAATTCTGATGATATTGAGAATGATCGCGCTAGCCAAGTTTCCACATCACATGTTCCGATTGTAGTACAGTTACCCCATCTGTCTGTTAACATCTCGTGACGGAGCTTACAATATTAATCAAATGTACTTCGGGGCATCGTGACAATCATCATCATCATGACCTGGATACAATAATCTGTTCAAAATAAATCCCATAAAATGAAGTGTTTTTTCTTCTGGTTTTGGAAAAGATATGTTTTCCAAAGAACGAATAATTATTGTGGTGTGACCTGCTAGTTGACACGTGTTAAGACGTTACGCGTGAATCTGTTGATTATTACACAACAAGGGCACTGGATCTATAACCTACAGAAGATAGTTATAACATTTATATCCACGCCTAATCAACTTAAGCAGGCGCGCGCGTCATACATCCGTGCAGCACGTGGGGCTGATATCATCCAATTACGCTGCGCAGATATCCTTGCAGGATCTGCCCTGCGAGCAACATCGCTTGATGGGACAGACATAATTCAATTAGTAAAAGAAAGCCGATTTAATTATATCACCAGTCCAATATGGAAGTGTTCCATAGCCCAAGTATAAGTAATCAAGAAAGCAGATATCACGTAATAATATTTCCAAACTAAGCTCTCGACATGCTCATGCATGCTAAAGCTCTGAACGCCACAACGACAACATGAGATGATATTTTTGATACTTTGAACTCATAATGGTAAGGATGCAAAATAATCCGCCTTATTATTTTGGTAAAACTGATTTATCACATTGATGTCCATAGATATGTGTACGAAACGATATGATCTCGAGTGTCTGTTGGTTGCTGAACGCTCACTCGGCAATATTCCACCTAGATGACGACGGTATGTTAATAATCGAGTCTGAACCAGACAAACCGATGATTGATATTCAGAGGAACGCGCTACGCCGATAACACGCAACCAGCCAATACAAGATACTGAGCCTCGCCATCTGTAACGTCGCCTCCTCGACCATCTTAGGTTGCTGGGGACCTGGGCCCCGTTCTACAAAGTGATCTTAGCGCTAAGTTGATCGTAACTCCCATTCTGTAACACTGACTTACAACAATCGTAGCGCTAAGATCGCTTTGTGGAACGGGGCCCTGGGTGCCGTTGTACATAGCTATCTTAGTGCTTAGGTGATCGTAACTCCTAGTTCTGATACGGATTTCTCACAGAACGGTCCACTCGTAGATCTGTTATAGGGTCATATATTCTTTGTCAAGTAACACGTTTGTGTCATCGAGAGACCTTAAAAAATCAATGTGTGTCAGCCTTTCCAGGCAATAAGAGCAGATAGACGTAGCACTGGAGCAAAAAAGCACAATGTTCATATTTGCATTTTTTGTTTATTTTCTTACTGATCCTAGCCTTAAAACCATATTGTTAACGAGGCAGATTTAAATCATCGATTTTATATTTTGAGATAAAAATATTATTTCATCATCAAATACATACAATGTCCAGGCCCAATCTCATTAAAGTCAGACCTTAGCGCTCGCTACCTCAACACAAAGGTCTGAGGACATCCCACTACAGGTCACGTCAGAACCACGTTTCGCAAACCAATGAAATGAAGTAGACATAATTTATAGATAACAACTTCGTTATTTTACTGTAAATGGCAATTACAGTGAAATAAAGAAGTTGTTGTCCACAAATTGTGTCTACTTTATCATTCGTCGTCAACTTCTAAAAAATGCCCATCAAACAATCCGACCAATGAAATGTTTAACAGGAAGTGGCCATCAGCCAATCTGAAAGCAGCATTCTCGGGGATTACGGCACGAGTTTCAAAATGGCTACTTCTTTTCCAGACTACGCTTTGAAACACATTTTGCAAAATTCTCGATTAAATTTGGAATGTGAGACCTAGATTGTATGGCAGTGTTACCCAAGAGCTTACGGAATATCGCCTCCGTTTCAAATGTGTATCTCATTACTGTAACAGTTGTTCGGATTGCACTGTGTTGAGCTTTTCGAGGTTGCATGATTAAAAAAACACATTATGTCTTTCACTTTAGCGATCTCCTCCTCGACGCTTTGACGCGGTCGGGTAGCCTAGTGGTTAAAGCCTTCGCTCGTCACGCCGAAGACCCAGGTTCGATTCCCGACATGGGTACAATGTGTGAAGCCCATTTCTGGTGTCCCCCGCCGTGATATTGCTGGAATTTTGCTAAAAGCGGCGTTAAACCATACTCTCTCACTCACTGATTTGTCGGATGAAAGGACATTTACCTGTAATGAGACGTCCTCATATAGCTGTGTAGCAAGTTGATTGAGTAACCGTTATTTATATATAAATACAAGATGATGTGAAAAAACTAAGTGTTATCGACTCGTGAGGACTCGTGAGGACTCGTGAGGACTCGTGAGGACCCGTGAAGATGCGGGTTAGAATTGACTTCTGCTTGTCGAAAGAGGCGGTTAACGGGATCCGGTGGTCAGGATCGCTGACCTGGTTGGTGCATGTCATCGTATCCCAACTGGGTAGATCGATGCTCATGATGTCAGTCACTGGATTGTCTGGTCCAGACTCGATCTTTACAGACCGCCGTCATATAGTTGAAGCGCAAATATATAAAATATAATTTGTTATGAAATTTTAATTTAATTCAGTTTTTTGCCTTTTCATCATGTACTGATTGACTGCAACACATGACGATAACTGCAGGAACCTCCCTTTCACATTCCAACACGTGACATATTCTCCAGCATGCCCATTTTAAACTTGTTTCATGCATAAGAACTCAGAACATTTCTATTCTCTTTTAACAGACCCTGACGATGCAGAATTCCTGGATGGCGTTCACTGTCGTTGCCGTAGCAACCCTGTGTGTCTGTGTCAGCGGAATGGGGATCGGGAAGGGTGCCCAGTCTTTTGGGGATGGTCAAAACAATGACCAGCGGTACCAGAAATGGTACGAGTGGATGGTCAAGCGTCAACTTGGATCCAACGACATGTCGTTTGGTCGTTACCTGCAAGATGGCGGCAAGTTCCTGGACTGGGGCAGCTTGTTTGATGGCGGACGGGGGAAAAGGCAGTTGTCAGGTTTCCCAGACAAATTTGGAAACTACCAACGGTTCTTCACGAACGGGCTGCAAGACTGGAAGAGCACCTTCAATGGCGAGAAGAGAGTTGCCCCTGAAGAATAAACAGTTCTGTGATATGCGCATGCGAGGACTCCTTACACGCTGTAGTTTACAAAAAAACCCACCTCATTCTGTTGTCTATCTCTCTCTCATCTGTGGTATTTCCCTGCACAAAGACAGAAGCATAATGTCATCACACAGTATGCCCAGACTCCCTTGGCTCACACAGAGCCTGTGCAACTCAACATTCAGAAACAGAACTTAATGATAACTACAATGTCACGTCAGAACAACAACGGATGTGATTTCAATATGGATCGTAGTTGTTCATGTCGTACTCGCGACGTGAACGACGTGAACGACGCTACCACGTGCTGCAGTGTATGTTAAATCCGTGCTTTACGATGGAGGGGGCAACTTCAGGAAGATAGTCAAATTACCAATTGTTCAGCCGGATCTCGACCTCGGGAAGATTCAGAATAAAGCACCGTTGTGTTTAAAGAATTTGTTCGTCAAATAATACAGAAAATAAGCGAAATCACACAAGGTACAGGTCATTTTTTAGGTAATCTTTAACTGTACATGTCATTCTGTTGGACGTTTTCTTTTTCAATAAAAATGTTTATGTTTAATTCATTGGTCTTCTTTAGCGTTATTCCTACAGTGCGAAGGTGTTTAGGGGAGACATTATGTCTCGGTTTGAGATAGGAATCACCAGACTGCCTTGCAGTTTTAGAGGAACATGAAATCAATTGAAATAATTAATTATATAAAGCGGCACGACCCTTTCCATATTCAATAGAAATAAAGCAAAGGTGGTTGTGCGATTCCGACTACATCATGTGCATGTGTTTATGAATCACTATCAAATAGGGATGATACCAGGTGTTCGCGAAAAGGTGAGCCTATCCTGCCCTACAGGTGGCACCCGTCACAAACACATGCAAAGGCAAATCAAGTGTTCATATAGAAAACAAAGTAATTCTTTGATAAATACTACAAATAAGTAATACAAGTGGGTGGTTCGTCTGTAATGATGTTTGTTTGTTTATTTGTATGTTTGTTGTTTAACGCCGCACTCAGCAATATTCCCACCATATGACAACCGCCTCTAAATAATCAAATCTGGACCAGACATTCCAGTGATTCACACCGTAATCAACGATCCACGCCGTCGGGGTATGATGACATGCTTTCAACCAAGTCACCGAACCCGACCACCCTGACCATTTGGTCGCCTCTAACGACAAGCATGGGGAATTCTTCTTCTCCCCAGTCGGGGCGGTCGGGTAGCCCAGTGGTTAAAGCGTTCGCTCGTCACGCCGAAGACCCGGGTTCGATTCCCGACATGGGTACAATGTGTGAAGCCCATTTCTGGTGTCCCCCGCCGTGATATTGCTGGAATATTGCTAAAAGCGGCGTAAAACCATACTCACTCACTCTTCTGCCCAGTCAATATCAAGACGTTATCGTTACCACACAGTAATACAAATATCTATGTTAATACACATAGAGAATAACCAGTCTTGATTATCTGCCGAAACAGATTCCATTGGGCGTAAAAGGCAACATAGTGATGCAGATTATATGAAAGAACCCCAAACATTAGTGATGACACTAGGTGTTCGCGAAGATGGTAAGCATGTCCATTTCTACTAGGAGCTTCCGCCAATTTGCAATAAAATGCAAGACCGCCTCCGTGGTCTAGTGGTAGAGCGTCCGCCCGGAGAGGAGAAGATCCGGGGTTCGATCCCCGACCGCGTCATACCAAAAGACGTTAAAAGATGGTACTTGTTCTTACTCTGTCTGGCGCTCGGCATTAAGGGGCTTAAACAAGGACTGGTCAGCTCGGAGTCAGTACACTGTGTCTGAGTGGGGTATTCATGTTAAACTGCGGCATGGTATCTCAGTGAGCTGGCACTATAAATCGGCATCAGTCCGGACTAGTACAAGCACACACACACACGCACACACACACACACACACACACACACACACACACACACACACACACGTCCAAGCACGTCTCTATATAAGTGCTATAATCTTGGACGCGGCGTTAAACCCCATTTCACATCACCACAATAAAATGCAAGTGTTAGTTTGTTGCCTAACGCTGCACAAAGCAATACTCCTGCCAAACGACGGTAGTGATATATACACATTTTCATATAGTCGGAATCGTACAATCGACTCTGCTTTTGGCACATATTTCTTATCAATATGGAACTGCTTTTGTCGCTTTTATTTTAATATATTTGTCAATTTTTGTGATATTATCAAAATGGATATTAACTGAATTTAGTGACCGCTCAGAGGAAAGCATATCACAGTCAAGTGAACGTAAAACAAACGCACGTCTACAACTGAAACTATTTTCGTCCTTCAAGAACCAACCTCAGTTTGATAACATGTATTCCCAATTTGTTTAACAATCTCGTGTTGCAAAAAATATACATTGTTCAAAGTAGTCCAATCCTAACGCGCATTCTGATACCCATTTTGCAAAAACCTCGTTTACAACGGTTCTATGTGCAGGTTTTTAATTATTTCTTCCTCACATTGTATTATTTATTGGGACAGAGATACGGTGATGCATATCCCAAAGGCCTTGACGTTTAATTATCTGAATGTAGGCCTATAACTATGCTCATCCATCTCTTCAAACTGCCGAATCCGCTGTCCTGTGTAATCCTGGGATGGATCTGTCGTGTACGGTGAAACGGATTGTCTCCGAAGTAGACGCTGCGGGATGATCCGGTCATCTGGCTGTCCTAATGTGGACCAGGTCTGTTGGAGATGACCCACACTGGACATCAATGTCGCTTACACTCTAATACAACACACAGAGTACTTACCACAAACAATCAGAGAGAACATCAATGTCGCTTACACTCTAATACAACACAGAGTACATACCACAAACACTCAGAGAGGACATCAATGTCGCTTACACTCTGATACAACACATAGTACATACCGCAAACACTCAGAGAGAACATCAATGTCGCTTACACTCTAATACAACACACAGAGTACATACCGGAAACACTCAGAGAGAACATCAATGTCGCTTACACTCTAATACAGCACAGAGTACATACCGCAAACACTCAGAGAGAACGTCAATGTCGCTTACACTCTGATACAACACACAGAGTACATACCGCAAACACTCAGAGAGAATATTAATGTCACTTACACTCTAATACAGCACAGAGTACATGCCGCAAACACTCAGAGAGAACAGCAATGTCGCTTACACTCTGATACAACACACAGAGTACATATCGCAAACACTCAGAGAGAATATTAATGTCACTTACACTCTAATACAGCACAGAGTACATGCCGCAAACACTCAGAGAGAACAGCAATGTCGCTTACACTCTGATACAACACACAGAGTACATATCGCAAACACTCAGAGAGAACGTCAATGTCGCTTACACACTAATACAACACACAGAGTACATACCGCAAACACTCAGAGAGAACGTCAATGTCGCTTACACTCTGATACAACACACAGAGTACATACCGCAAACACTCAGAGAGAACGTCAATGTCGCTTACAAGCTAATACAACACACAGAGTACATACCGCAAACACTCAGAGAGAACATCAATGTCCCTCACACTCTAATACAACACAGAGAGTACATATCGCAAACACTCAGAGTGAACATCAATGTCGCTTACACTCTAATACAACACAGAGTCCAAACCGCAAACACTCAGAGAGGACATCAATGTCGCTTACACTCTGATACAACACACAGAGTACATACCGCAAACACTCAGAGAGAACGTCAATGTCGCTTACACACTAATACAACACACATAGTACATACAGGAAACACTCAGAGAGAATATTAATGTCACTTACACTCTAATACAACACACAGAGTACATACCGCAAACACTCAGAGAGAACATCAATGTCGCTTACACTCTAATACAACACAGAGTCCAAACCGCAAACACTCAGAGAGAACGTCAATGTCGCTTACACACTAATACAACACACAGAGTACATACCGCAAACACTCAGAGAGAACGTCAATGTCGCTTACACTCTGATACAACACACAGAGTACATACCGCAAACACTCAGAGAGAACATCAATGTCGCTTACAAGCTAATACAACACACAGAGTACATACCGCAAACACTCAGAGAGAACATCAATGTCCCTCACACTCTAATACAACACAGAGAGTACATATCGCAAACACTCAGAGTGAACATCAATGTCGCTTACACTCTAATACAACACAGAGTCCAAACCGCAAACACTCAGAGAGGACATCAATGTCGCTTACACTCTGATACAACACACAGAGTACATACCGCAAACACTCAGAGAGAACGTCAATGTCGCTTACACACTAATACAACACACATAGTACATACAGGAAACACTCAGAGAGAATATTAATGTCACTTACACTCTAATACAACACACAGAGTACATACCGCAAACACTCAGAGAGAACATCAATGTCGCTTACGCTCTAATACAACATAGAGTCCAAACCGCAAACACTCAGAGAGGACATCAATGTCGCTTACACTCTGATACAACACACAGAGTACATACAGGAAACACTCAGAGAGAACGTCAATGTCGCTTACACTCTGATACAACACAGAGTACATACCTCAAACACTCAGAGAGAACATCAATGTCCCTCACACTCTAATACAACACAGAGAGTACATATCGCAAACACTCAGAGTGAACATCAATGTCGCTTACACTCTAATACAACACAGAGTCCAAACCGCAAACACTCAGAGAGGACATCAATGTCGCTTACACTCTGATACAACACACAGAGTACATACAGGAAACACTCAGAGAGAACGTCAATGTCGCTTACACTCTGATACAACACAGAGTACATACCTCAAACACTCAGAGAGAACATCAATGTCACTTACACTCTAATACAACACACAGAGTGCATTCCGCAAACACTCAGAGAGAACATGTAATATTGTATTTTACCAAATGATGTGCATGTTAATAAGATTGAAAATTAATTTCATTTTTTAATTCAATGTAATTTTTATGATGATTTGCTTTTCAATCTATATAATACAACATATGAAAATAATCCTTGGTTTTATAACTTTAATAATGAGGATAAATTTGTATATATGACGGACGAAATTAAAATACAAAGCCTTAAAGTTTTATCCTTAACACTTTTTAAAATGTTTCGAAGAAGGCAAATGTTGTGATCTTTATTTTATACAACCAACTATTTTTCAAATATTTTTTTTATTTAAGTGTCTCATAGGTCAATTTGTGGCTCGACGCTGTGTTTTTAATGCATATATTATGTTCAAATGCGTGTAACACTAAAATAAACAGTTTACTACTACTACTGCTGCTGCTACTACTACTACTACTAAAACTACTACTACTACTACTACTACTGCTACTGCTACTACTACTACTATTTCTACTACATCGTCACCTTGGAACATCGTCACCTTGGAGCATTATCACCTTGGAACATCGTCACCTGGGAGCATGGAACATCATCACTTTGGAACATCGTCACCTAGGAACATCGTCACCTTGAAGCATCGTCACCTTGGAGCATCGTCACCTTGGAA